GGGGAGGGGGAGGGGGTTATTGGCGTGGCACTTCTCATAAACTTACTCGAGGGCATATTGTTTTCTATACTATCCTTAGAATAGGCATTTGGGGCCAACGGCTGGCATGGCATTCGTCCTAGTTTTCACTATTTTTGGCTAGAAAAGGCAGGCCCATAATGGCTTAAAAGCTCACTGTGTACCACTGTATGGTGATGTGAACTACGTAATTATTTCAAGGCGAATTGAAGGAAACAGATTATTCGTTATCCCCGACTGAACATCAAAGTAGTTCGAATACAAAAAAAGAAAATCTTGCCGAAAAAATAAATCCCTTCTATGGATACGGAGAGAAAAACGACAAGGGAATTTGGAAGCTGCCAAAATATAATAGATTGTGTAGAAAGTATCTGTCGAGAGATAAACAGAAGTCCAGATTTCTCCCGGTACTTTCTGAGAGCCTCTATAAAAGTACTATGAAAGGGGACTACTCACCTGTAATAGGGTAATATGTCAGGAAATTTCATAATCTTGCAAACTGTTATTTCAGGCTGTGAAGCGTTGGAACGAGGTGTGCACAGAACCTCTTAGTAGGGGGTTTAGGACTGAACACTTAACGAAAGCTTCGGTAAACTTCTGGATACTGGTTCTGGAGCTTCTGGATGGAACGGAAGTCTGGATTAATGCGAAAAAATTGGCAGATACTTTTCGCACTACCCAGTGCCTCGTGAAGAATCCTACTCTGTTACTGTGTGTTGCAACGTTTGCACGTTCTGCAGGTATAAAAGTGCAGTCAGTCGAATTGTGAGCAGAATATGTTTGTGTTGTTCGATGCCTGTGTTCCAAATCTCAAGAGTCACGTAGACTGCGCATAAACCGAGAAATCGGTCCCGAAGACTCAAGGTTGCGAGATCCAAAAGAAATGACTTCACAAGGACATTGTACAAGAAGTTGTGATGACTTCATTCATCTGCAGGTACCTTCCACATAAGCCAAAGGACGAAAGAACGTCGGATTGCTCAAAGTACAGAGAGGCCACACTAAGCGTTAGTTGTTCGGCAGTCGATCTCACAGTCGTGCGTGTGCTAGGTCATCACGTTGTTTGTGCGCGGGAAGGCAATGACTGTACAAAAATGACCATTCTGGTCAGCACATTCCATCCTTCTACGCGGTATGTGAAATCGCTGCACGGATCACTCTCAATGACAATTTACTTGAATGTTTTCGTCAAGGACATAAAATGAAGCTGTTGACGTTGATGGTGGTTCTCCTGTTGTACAGTGGTTTTATAGGAGATATTGGATTGAGGCAATCACCAAAGTGGCTTTACACTGGCACCTCTGAATTACTGATGTGCCCCGTAGTATTTTGGTCATCTGCTACCTTCGTTATGCTTAGAAACGGTTAAATCGTGTATTTACACATATGGGGTAGCATGAGAACAGAGTAAGTCGGATAACAAGTAAAAGAAATTGTTGTCGCCTTCAATGCTATACTGCTGACCTCAGTTTCTTATCAACTTACAATTAATGACATCGATTTCGACATCCTTTACCTCCTCGTTCATTTCGTGGATGAGCTTCCTGCGGTGTATCGCCTCTTTGATACGCATCATTCTTACCTAGAAAGTAAAAGAGTCGATTTACAAATGATAAACCCGTATCATTTTTCAACGAGAGTGGTCTGTGATCTTGCCAAAACCGTAAGGCTTCTGATTGTTAGGCTAAATACATTGAAGACGTTCTCGGAAGTAGGGCCTTCATTAACAAGAGGAAGTACAGCCTGTTATCAATCGCAGTCGAATGGAAGGCATTCAGTGATTACAGCATAGAGAATCATAATTTGAAAGTAGCTCCTACCAGTTTATTCGTCATTTTAGAACTGATTCATGGAGCTGCCTGGCCCATTCCACAATGATCCACTTTTCGCTTCAGTGCTCGTGCGAAACGAAATGGAAAGCCAATTCATGACTTGTCTGTAGAATTTTTTTCCAAAAATTCTACTACGACGTCTTCTGATTTTGTAAAAGAAGCGATTGCTGCATTTGTTGGTGTAAAATTGGGTACACTTATCAGCTCACCATCAGACAGTTTTCGCACTTTCCATACACAGCGAACAATTGCCAGTCACACTAGTCATAAACTCCTTTTCTAGGAGGTGCACTCATTCCCTTAATCTAAGCTTTCTCTACCGTAATGAAAAAGGCAGCTACTCCGAGCTTTTTGCCCCTACAGGGGAGAAACAAGCCCTCTCTGTATCATTAACCCTTTGACGACAATGGCACCCACCGGTGGGGGACACTATGACTGACGCATGGTACACTGGCACCCAGTTTTGGGAATCACCATACTTTCTTGTTTCCTACCAATTCAGTAAGCGGGTGAAAGAGTTTTCTCCTGGGACAGTGCTAAGAGGGAAAAGAACTAGGAGAACATCCTGCAAGAGAGCAATGCACTTGAAGCATGAGATGGTCGACAAAATGCAGAAGCGAATGCTGCTTGACTTGACGCAGAAGCAGCAACTTATTGCAATTTATAATTTGTAGTTGAATATAAAGGTCCGTCACCACTATCACCCGACGTTTCCTCTCAATCTATCATCTTTTTCGAGCCCCCATCTGCGTCAACACGTTCACTAAAATGAGAAGTACATCGGAAAACCTTCCTTCTATTCATCAATTCTCGTTATGAAACATCTGTTTGAGCTAAGTTAGTTATAATGTTTTGAATATATCGATGGCATGGACAACTATTTTTGCGTCCACCCAATATTTCTTCTGTAAATACAGTACTCGCCGTAAGAACTCGAAAATTCACGCGAATACCGCTAATTTGCGTTTTCTCCGTTTTTTCTCCATATATCGCTTCAAAATGGAGTAATCGAGGAGATAAGGGTACCGTTGGACTCAGCTCATCGAGCTCTACAAGATTTTCCCCTAATCTGTTAGAAGTGCTCTATTTTGGATTGCGCCATGCACCTGGGTTTCGACAGAAAGGTGATTGAATTTACATGGGGTGCATACTTTAGTGCTTGCAGGGGCTGATTGGTCATTGAAGATGATGTGTCCAGAATTTGTTTTGGATTGCGCCACGTTCTCGACTTTGCTCAATACAATATGAAAATGATTATTGGTTTTGTTCAGTCTCCACCGTTCCCTTTTTGGTTTGGAGGCTGTAGGTAACTGCATCTACGGTCTTTGCACTCAACACTCCTCCTTACAGGTTCCATTGATAATATGACATCAATTTACGGCAAAATGACGTAGTCGATTTCTTTGGCATTTTTCAATTTTCGGAGGAATTTTTCTCCAGAACCTGAAGACCTGAGGATTACATCATTTTGAAGCGATTTATAGAGAAAGACGACGAAAAAAAAAGACGCGAACCCGTGGTACTCGCGTGAATTTTCGAGTTCTTTCAGCGAGCACTGTAGTTTAGCCAGTAAATGCAGATAAACTACAAAATATTTTTGCTAGCATTGTTACGATTTCTTCTGAAGTAATTGATTTACGAGACAAACTGTTCCATCTGATTGAGTGCTACAAGAACGAATTTTTAACAAAGAACTTGGAACGGATTCCTTGGCGTCAGCAATCCTCGTTCGCATGTTATGGGAAGAGTAAAGGAGCATCCCCTTTCCGTTGGTTAGTTTCTGATACTGCAGTATTGTAGCCATTTAAAAGAGAAATGAGCGGACTTGGTAGTTCTTCCTTTCTTCATTCCCCTCTGAAATTGGCGCATTACTTGAACGGCCAATCCAAATTTACATCGAACACGAAAAAGCAGAAATACTGGATATGAAGATATAAACCAGCTTATGCCAAGGTGGTCGTTTCTTCGGAATTAGTAGGTCTGCTCTGGCACGAAGACCTTGGCTAGCCGTGCCAGACCTTTCGTCATTGGGCTGAAAGCGGGAGGGGGGAAGAAGTGTTTCTACACGACTATCCAATGTAGCAGGACACTCGACCACTCACTTCGAGCAAGCAGCCGTCAAGGCAAGCCCTGACAGGGATTAAGATTGTTAGCTGAGCTTCAGGGGTTACGTAGATGTTGCCAAAAAGATCCCCTCAATAGGAAGATCCAGACGAAGAAGGAGCCTTTGCTGCAGAACCGAAGAGTCGGGCCTTAGCTTAAAAATGGTGTTCAAAGGAGTGTAAACAACAAAGCGGAGAAGTTGAATGTCAAGCCTAGCTCCTTTGGCACTGCATAGTACACCAGGCATTCACTGACTATTTCTCGAGTGGAAAAAGACGGAATGCCGCGACGTCTGTACTGCTTCATTAACACCATGGATTTTTCAAAACAGGCGCATAAATCTATCTTTCAAGGTACATACTTTGCAATTCAAGTAGGATGTGTTGGGAAGATTCCATTACGCAGGATTGATGACTCTGGCGACCCTCTTTTGAAACGTCGATTTGAAGCCGTGATTTCTAATGAGGCGCTCATTATCAGATAAAATCGCAATATAAGTCAGCATGCAGTGTTTGTACTGAAAACATCTCTTTCCAATAATACTTTTTGAGTGGCTTCACTCGAAAGGCATATACACTTTTGGCTCTATGGTGAATTTTCTTATTCTTCGGGTCTAGTTGTTGCTATTTTTGTTCCATTTATATAATATACAGCGCCAAGGTTTGTTTGGACAGTTCTAGGCTTCAGCTCCACTTCTGAAATTGAGTCAATTACGTGCCATTTACTCAGCTACCTTAATTTTCGCTCGCAGTCCAGTCGACTTTTTGTGAATGGGAGAATGAGCGATTTTTCTGCGTTGATCTCTACCCTCTCTCGGCATTTGGGAAAATGGTTTTAAGGCAGTTTCCTAAAAGGAATGACGTAGACAAGGTTCAGATGAGATACAGCCTACTGCAATACCACGAGTTCATCGGAAATGGTGTCATAAGAAAACAGTAGTACGATCGAGAGTAGGAAGGAGATGCGGATGGTTACATGGAGAGGTGCTGAATGCTCTGCAAAAGAATCAACACGGTCAGGGTTTGCGGGCAAATCGAGAGCGATGTGGTTCGCTGAATAAATGCCCATCGCAGGAGCAGAGGGCTTTTACCGGTGAGGGATGACCGGCCTAACGATGGGTAAAGGCGAGGAGGCATTGTATGCATGACTCATTTCCTTTGCCTTCATTTTTTAGGCTTTACCACATTTATCGCTAGAAATCACGATAGCTTCAAGTATTAAACCAAGTGAAATCCATTCATTGAAGGAAAGTATTGCATTCCGCTTCCTCATTGCATCAATTTCATTTTGACATTTGTGGTCGAAAGGAGCTGTGAAACCGTGCACGCTCACATCTTTCATCACTCGAGGGTATTGGAAGATACCGATTGTTGAAAACAGTTGCTGAAACAGTTATCCGTAGTAGCGACTGCAAGACTCAGTTTTGTGACTAAAATCGTAGGAACAACGGGCTATAGAGCTCGTGGCATGCGTGACAGTACGGTTTTGTTGGGAGTCAGCAAAACCCAGGGGTCTGTGTTAAGCTCAAAAAAAGGCGTTCCCCAAGGAACTAGAATCGGAGGTTCATTTGACAGCAGCGTGATGACATTGACCTAAGTTTCTTTTCGATGTTACCATTACAAGATTTCAGGTGAATGTTGACCACTACGATACCCTTGATGGTCGACTCCACTAAACGCTAGAATTTTCGCAACAATTAATGTATATTGCGGCCTTATCGTCATGCAAAGCGCAAGTGTCATGACTGCGAGAGTCCAAAAGAGGTGGAAGGGGAAGGAACTCTCGTGATAGAACTCTGGTCTTACTGGGAGCTGTACCTCGACAGCATATCTACCCTGCGCTCGTTGTACTTCAGTCGTAAAGCGGATGGGATTTTAACACAACCGCTGGCTAAAGGCGGCTTTTTCAGAAGACTTGGCTGTTCATTGCTGTTGTAATAGGCTCGTCAAAGCGAAGACAAAAGACGCGGAATTGGACTCTGGCTTTATCTTGGCTTTTATCGAGGTACTCCACAGTCGACAGCGAAGACACTATCGGGCTATTCGAAACATCGAGATAATGACGGCCGTAATGAAAAGCGACGGCTTCATCCCGAGGAAGCTCGCTGCGGTCAAGCACATAGAAAGTGAATATTTTGATGGTATGCTGAAGTTAGGATACCACCCTGAAAACAGTTCAAAAATGGAGGCTACTAGCCCTGCTGGTCCCATCAGACCGGACAGTGGTACGTCGAGCAATAGAAAAGATGAAGATTGGGAACACGACTGGTCTGAAGAGGGTACAGATCGAGGTGTGAAAGGTGCTCGTAGAGCATTTTTTTCAGCTCCTAAACGCCATAGTGCAGAAGGAATAAATCCCAGATCCATCTATGAACAAAAGAGGTACGCGATGAGCGTTCTAATTGCAAGGGGATCAAATTGACTGCACCTACACTGAAACTATTCGAGCAACCAGAGGACGAGGATTGAGACAGCTTGTTCCCGTCTCATAGAGAAATTTGAATTCATGCCCCAATGGTCCTCAACGAATGCCATCTTCGCAGTTAGACAATTGCCGGTAAAATATCGAGAAAAGCGTAGGCTCTGTCACCTAAATTTCCTCGATCTATGAGAGCCGAGGTAGGATTGCTTATCGCTACCGT